AGTCGTAGCGCTGTATCGCTTCTAAAAGTCGCGTACCTTTGGGTCTGTCTGCGCTATAACCCCATGTGGTGTGCCAAGCGTTGAAGTCCCCAGTGATGATCAAGTGGTCGCGTGGTTGAAGCTTGTTGTTCAAATAGTGGAAGATATTGCTGAATTCTGCTTTTCTGTCTTGTGGGGGACTGTATATGTTACATATAACCTGCCTCGGGCGTCCTTTCTTCGCTGGCCAGAGCGTTACGATAAGGTGTTGCGTCTCTTCGTTCGGTGCCGTTATGCATGTAGCTGCCAATTCTTTCCGGACGAGTGTCGCAATCTTAGGTGTATTTGGATCCATGTATAGTTTGTAGCCAGAAACTGTTTTAGGCCTGGCTCCCACCTCTTGCAAGCAGATTACGTCAGGAGGAACCAGCGCCGCCTTTATGTATAGAGTGAGTGTAGCATGCTTGTTGTGCAGGGAACGACAGTTCCAGGACCATATAGTGAGATTCTCGTTTGCTATGCGTCGGTTAATTGCCATGATGCGAGGAGTGGGTGTGCTTTCAGCGTCCGAGGTAAGCATGCTTTTGGCGTCGGACTCCTGGGACTGCGGTTGGCTCTGCTTACGTCGACGCTTCGTTTCTTTGTCGAGGCTTTCATGAACGTATCGCTTCAGGTCATGAAATTCGACAAAGAACTGTTTCATTTCGGCCTCTGTTTGCTGCAGTATGCGCTGTTGCATTAGCTGCAGTTGTTGTTGTAAAGTGAGGTTTGTCGCTGTTTGTTCTGTTCCTATATTGGCTACAGGATCTCGTGGTGGTGTCGATTGCGGTTGGATGTGCCCATTGTCCCGTAGCTTTTCGCTTGGGTGGCTAGTTAGATTTTGAGAGGCCTGGACTGTAGTTTGTGGGGTGGCTCCCATTAATTGGGCCAGCTGTTTTTCGAGCCACATTATTTTGCTCTCGTATTTGTCAAGGCGTTGCTTAAGCTGTTTGTTTTCAGCGATTACTGCTTGATAGTGTACGTTTTGTGTGATGGGGGGAGTACATGCAGACTTGGGAGCCACGGCTTCCGCCCAGCTTACCGGAAGTGATGATGCCTGTTGGGTGCATCCTTGATCCCCGCCGTTGCCTTTGGCTCCCCCTCCTGGAGGACTGCGGTGGAGGTTCTGCTGAGTCGGTGCTGGCGCGCTCTTCTTGGATGGCGAGTGCGGCTTTCTGCCCGGGGACCGTGAATGCGACCGGGAACTGTGCTTGTCATCGGCTGACTTGTAGGCGTTTTCTTCCTCTTCGGAGGAGAACCAGCGGAGATTCTTGGTCCTCGGTGGGTCGTTGCTAGTGCCCTGTTGAAGCTTATCACTGTGGCCTGCTTGTACTTGCGGCTGTTTAGGCTTCGGCGGCTTAAGTCTTTTTTTGCAAGTTGGATCTCCTGTGGGGTGAGCCTCCCCACACGAGGCGCAACTAATAGAACACGGATGTCCATCCGTTGGATTAGTCAGTCCGCACAGCCGGCAAATGGGGCGATCCGGATGCGGGCAAACGTCCGCGCGGTGTCCTTTTTCTCGGCAGACCTTGCAGACTTGAATCGTAGGTCGGAAGGGGTAGCAGCGGAGTTCACCCCCGTAATAGTAGACGGTACGAGGTAGCGTTGGACCGAAAAATGTAATGGCTGCGCTTTTCGTTGTGCCTATCATTCTGGCAGTGATGATCTCCACACCGTGCGTTCTGACACGTAGGTGCGCCATGAGAGTTTCGGTTGAGGTGTTCATCGGTACGCCGTGAATCACCCCTCTCAGAGTATCGTCTCCATTTGCGGCGTAGGCACGGACAGCGTGAGCCCTGCCGTTAAGCACAAGGGCGCGTATCAGACGCACTTTGTCCGCCACTTCCTCATATTTGGTCGACAGAATCGCTATGTTTGACCCTGGGTTGATTCTAAGGATGAAATGGTCATCTCTGATGCCAGCTTGGCATGCCTCGATGATTGCTTGCGCAAGCGTAGGAGTCAGAATGTTTCTCAGCGGGAGGCCCTGGTTTGGACGAATGACGATCTTGTAATCGTCCTTCGGCAACGGCGGTAGCTTTGGCAATTTCTTGAATGTTGGCGTGCCTGTCTTAACTTGGTCCTGGAGCCCTGCGCTGCCGCGCCTCCGCTCCAGTGCCTCTTGCTTGCGTTTTTGGTGGATTTCGCTGCCTGCCAGCTAGCGTCCTCTTCTGCATGCGATTGAGCGCCGATAGCGTCTCGGCTCACCGTATCGTGGTCGCCCTGGAGTTGATCCATTTGGTCGTCTGCTGTACCATCCTGGTCTAGGAGGTGGTATTGTTGGTCGGTCGCCGCGTTGAGAGCCATAGCTGGATGAAGCTCTGACGCGGGCGTGCCCAGCGTCGGTGCAGCTGCCGGCGGCTCCCCAGGTCAGCGTTTCGTGAGCGTCCTAGGGGTGACGAGCTTTCTGAAGTCCTTTGGCACCTCCAAGTGGCAAGAAATCCTCTTGAGTGGTGCCCAGACGTTCCTCGGAACTTCTTGAAGCTGATAGTAACGTTTCGAGTGGTTGCAGACGGAAAACACCACTAAAAATCATGAGAATCCAGAGCGCGAAGCGAGCTCGTCTGCACTACTTCGAGCCCCCTGGCGGTCTCTCCCATGCTGCAAGAGTGGCCACTTGCGACAATTCTTTTTTTGTTCACTAATTTGCTCACGTCTCCCGTGCTATACTCGCAGGAGTGAACGAGCCTTATCTGGTTTGTCCGTGTCGTTGGGTAGGGGGGGGGGGTGGAAGCGATGGTTTTCTTTGGAGTTCTCATTCATAAGTCTGTAGGGTATACCATATACGGGCTTCGAACACAGCAACAGCGGGGCATAGTAACTTTGCGGAACGCGAAATCAACGCACAAATGCTCTGCAACCAACGACGTATTATGTAGTAACGTTTTCTCGCTTCGCATGAACAACTATTTTAGGCGCATGGTTCACTAAGCTAGATATGTCACCTGACGATTAATGTTTGAGTCTTTTTGAAGAAGCTTAAACTGCGGGAAAATATTTTTGCCTTTATGCAGGATTGCGGAAGTGACAAATGCCACTATTAGCATTAGCATTTTTGTTTTAAATGTGCATTGACTTGAAACCGGAAACCCTACGTGACATACTCTGACAAACGTGACTCACAAACTCGCATTTGAAGTAAGCTAAGCAAAAAAGTTATGCGCCTTAATCCTCTTACCTGGGAGGGTGCGCGGGGCTATTTTTTCTTTCCTGTAAAGGAACGTAGAGTCGTCATGTTTATGTTAACAACTGTTATTGAAAATGCAGGGATGCTATATCTGTGTAGTTAAGCCCGGGCCAGGCCCAAGCGTAATTTTTGTCGATGTGGCCTCATTAAGTGTAAGGCCCAAGGGAGTGCTTTCAGCTCTCCCATAGTAGAGTACCGAGTACTCTAAATCGTTCACCACTTTCTTTAAGCACGCGCTTGTTGTTTGATGTAGTAGTGACGTTAATCGCACGGTCAAATAAAAAATAAAGAGGCCTCATTAGACATCAAGTAATTTAGCGTTTGGATTATCAGTGCGTGCTGCCGCTTCTTCTGTGAAATAAAAGCGAAGGAAATCCGATTCGACGCTCCTCTCTCTCTCTCGACTTTTAACTTCTTTGCACTCTGTTGCGTATGCATGATGCACGAGACATCAAAAACCGACAATACTCCATTCTGAGAAATGCTGTGGCATGAAACGTCGGTGATCTGGATAGTAACGGTGACTTGGGCACTGTTGAATCAGAATGCTTAATTAAAACGCATTTACAAGAAGAGTTCTTAGCGCAAGCACGTAAGTGTTGAAACACAACATGAACAAAAAAAGCGACACCGTGAAGAACGGAAGGCAGCACTCGTGTGCGTCACTGGCCTTCCCATTTTAATATTAATAATATCTGGGGTCTTACGTCAAAAAACCGAGATATAATTATAAAAAACGCCGTAGTGGAGGGCTCCGTAAATCTATACCGTATGGTGTTCTTTAACCTGCAGCGACATTTCACCTCCGCCGAAGTGCGGCCGCCACGGCCGGGGTCGAACCCGCTACCTTCGGTTCGGCAGCCAAGCACCGGTGGAGTCACTGCTCCACCGGAGAACCACAGCAACGTAAAAGCACATGACGAAAAAGGGGACACACCGAACATGACTCGCGTTCCTTATTGCTCGCGAGCTTTCACATTTGAACTGTATTTGCTGTTAACAAGCTTCCCTACTTCATCACACGTTCATTCTTTGAATTTCCCTTTGACAAACTGAAGAAGCACGAGACATCGCAATGAAACTGCTTACCTTTACTTGTGCCTGCACCTGATAACAAAATAATGAAAATAAAGAAATAGGTGGCTTTAGAACAAAATATCAACGCTAATGGTACAAAGTGCACGCAGCGCAGCGAACCACAATGGCATTTTTATAGGAGCATTCAGTAGCCTATAGCACTCATTCGTAGGTGAGACGTTAGGTTTAAGTGATGTAGAGAATGTTTCAATACGGCGCTATCGGCTAGAGGAATTCCGAGTGTCGGCTAGTATGATTCGGAATCGAGATCGAGAAAGGATTGCATAACTGCTCGGTAAGAGGTTAATTATAGATGCACCTTGCACGAGTAATTCTCAGCATAGATTTTGCACCCCGCGACACACTGACTGTAAACTGAGCAGACTTCGTTGAAATTTATTACGGCGGCCCCAAGATATTGATTCCACGCATGCATATAAATATGCATGCGAGCATACCGCACAACTTTCAGCGTATAAGGCACACAAAAAAGCGCGTCCTATTCACACGTGAATAATCACACGTTAATTACGTGTGAGTAATCGTTAATTAAATATGAATATGGTGTCTCAGTTTATATGTTTCCTGTTGCCACAGCCATTTCATTGTAGAATACTTACCTCCTTTGCCTTTTGCGCCTTTCCCCCCTTTTCCGCCTAGAACAGATAAAAACACGTGTTGTATTCAAGCTTCCAGTGAGCCGTCTAACGAAGAAAAGTTTCCTACCTTTCTTATTTTGAGTGTTTCCGGTTCTCATCATGGTCAGCTCACCTTCCTTCTTGGTCTCTGCGAACAGACACGGGGCACTTTCACGTCACGACACCCAATGCCAAAACTGACGCAGCAGTAGCAAATAGCTTTCACGCGAACATTGGCGTACAGTAGCAGCGTGTTATAGTAAAGGTGTTCGCGATGCTCACAGTACGACGTTCAAGTATATACGCTAGTTCGAACACTTTCGTTTGGCGTCAAGGCTAATTAACTTTTTAACTATTGATAAATAAAAATCAATCGCGCGTCAATGACCAGGAATTGTAAGTAATATCAAATATTTTACGTGACGCTTGAACTTTTCGGACGGATATAATACAGAGCACAAGTTCAGCCTTACTGGCTGTAATCTTAGAGTTCGTTGCTTGTGGCGATTAGGCACCGATTAGTGCAAAACTTGAGATACACGAAAACTGTCCATCCAGTCTTTGTGGCAACGTCATGATCGACTCGTGGAATTTAAGCTCAAAAGAAACACTGCAGCTTCAATGAAGTCACACTGGGTGCTTTCTATTAGCATTCAATAGGAATAGGTTCTCTCATCATCATAATCACCAACAACAAACTACTGTAGTTTCACTGCACAATGAATTCCTATCCTTGCGATACCCAAGATCTAACGATGTAGGCACATGCCAAGATATCAGTACACGTAGACAATCATTCCTGCGCTTCATTATCATCAGAATGCGGCCACTGTGACCACGAATCAAACACAGAACCTCCTGCCTACTAGCAGCAGCGCGAAAAGCGAAAAGCTCAATTTTTCCGCACTTTTACGTGTACACGAATAATGCATCGCTTCGCTCAAATACCTGGAACGCCATACCCGATAAGCTGCGCGAGGTGTGCACTTTTGCAATACAACGAATGAACTTTCTCTGAAGCGATTTAAGGATCGTTCACACCAGCGACAAACACCGCTCGTGCGACCAAGTTAGTCGCAGAGCAGCAACTGGTCGCAAATCGTCGCGAATGGTAGATTTGGTTGCTAAGCGACCGCTTTGGTTCAGCCGCTCACCTCTCTATTTTGCAGACGCACAACTGCATTCGCGAACGCCTGCAGCTGTCTCATGCGAAGGGACAGGACGCCGATAGTATACGGGGCAATGAGATTGCGAGCAGACGTGATATCTACGACGTGAACTAGTGGTGAAATTCGCACGCATCAGTGAACATCGGTCACAAATGAGCCTATATGACGTCACTCTCCTAAACAGCTATCGTGAAAGGCGCGCGCGGAAGATAATTGATGCATTTGCTGTCAGTCAAGGGACGAACGACTTGTAGGCTTTCTGTCGTTTGATCCGGCCGAAAAAAAAAACGCTATTTGACGTAACGCACCCCACAAAAGTTCTTACTTAAACTTTTTTCATGCTTTCATGTGTCTACGTAAACTTGACTTTCTCAAGAAAACTTTCAGTTGATCACGCGTCGTTGTGCTCCTTTCCTTTGTCCTACGTTTTCACAGTTTTTTTTAACTTTTTTTGTTACGTACAGACGGAATCGCACTCGTCTAGAGCGCTCAGCCTGGCCGCTTCAGGTGCCGTTTTATGCAGAAATGCAGAAACCGACGTCATAATCATACCATAATCATATTGCACGCTATGTCCTTGCACAACGATTCAAGCATAAAAATAAGCATGTAGGTTACGTGAGGTAGCAGCTTCGGACAACAACAGCGTCCACAGCCATGGGCTCCACCACTATAGACAAGCGCGACTGCTTCTGTACCAACAAGCCCGCCTATCTCCGCGTCTCGCAGCCTGTAACATCGGTCACCTTGAGTCGCTTTGCTCCTCGCAAATGGCCAAAGACCGGTGCTAGTCGAAGGTGTGAATGAGCTTTAACGTTAACCAGTCATAACCCATAAGTCATTAGCGCTTACTGCTCTTCTTGCCGCCCTTGGTGGTCGTCCTTGTGGTGACGCCACCTCTCGTCACCCGCCTGGTGAGCTCGGCTGCGCGGCGAACGAGAGAAAGTCGACAACTGAGCCATCTCAACCGACACACACTTGATTTGCTAACTCGCAGAAATAACCTACGAGTCTCTGGCGAAAGTTGATCGAAATGAACCAAATGGCTCACTTAGTCGTTTGGACATAAAACGATTCAAAGCGCCAAATTCTCTTTCACGGTACAAAAAAGGCTTATATGTTCCCCACTTTGCCCAGAGGGGGTGGTAGTACCAGCGTAATTTGTGAGAGGGGTAGTCAGTCTGAACTAATTACGCAATATAAGTGACGTATGCACATTAGGTTTGTCATTGTTAGGATCTAAATTGGGAAGTTCGTACAAGGTCTAGGATGCAGACTGTGAAAGGAAAGCTAGCGAGGCTAGTCTAAACACTCCATACGCGTATAGTCCGTCCAATAATCGAATAAGAATAGAGCCATGTGAAAGAGGCACATTGCATTCACTCAACAGTGAACTTTTGAGTGCTCCTGCAGTAATGGAACACAGAAATGAAAACTTAAACCAATGTTAATCTCAACTGTGACAAAAGAAGCGTGAAACACTAGTTACAGACACCTAAAATAATGTATATATATCCATACAGCAATATTTCGCAAGGTCTTTTCTTTTTCCCTTTTAATGTTATTCGAGTGTAAGTTTGCTAAAACAATACGACGCACGTTCTTTCACCCACCCTTTAGAAGTGGAACAACGAAATTTTTTTCTAAAAGGCAGAATAAGCATCGTGTTAAGAACAAAAATGCTTTGTGATGTCAAGCATCAATTAATTTACCTCGGCTGCGAAGCCAGGTTAAATAAATGGGTCATTATGGTGGTGCTTACCTTGCATGTTTTCTGAAATTGAAAGAAACATAGCAAGCATTAGTATCAGTTGATCGTTCAAATAGAACTCAGAAAGCTTCAAATATTTTTACAGTGAAAGCTTTGTATATAGCTCTGCTGCACCTGCGACATCGGTTATCATGTGACCGCTTATCACCCTCTAACCAACACGAGGTGTTCTACTATGCTCAACTATTTCTAGAGCTATTACGGAGCTAGGTGTAGCCAACAGCGGTATAGAAAGAAAGACTAGTCTTCGCTTTTCAGACTTGTATTTGTGCGGCCGGTAGATATTCCTTCTTTACGATGAAAATAGGGAGAAAACGATTAATTCATTGATTGGTTTATAAGTGAGGTTCAACGTCTCGAAACCCCCATGTGATTACGAGAGATGCCGCAGTGGAGGGCTGCGGAAATTTTGACCACCAGGGGTTCTCCAACATGCGCCCAAATATGAGTACACAGGCAACAGCATTTTCGACTCCATCGACAATGCAGCCGCCGCAGCCGGATTTGATCCCGCGACCTGCGGGTTAGCAGCCGAATACCTTCCCTACTAAACCGCCGCGGTGGAGCAGTGAGAAAACAGTGATGCTTAAGTTCGCGTCTAGGCACCCACCTCCATCAACATCACATCGATGTCATGTATTCGGGTATCGGGACAGTTTTTTCCCATTCAACAGAAGGTGCAAACGAAGCTCCATAAGTTTGATAATTTATCAATAGAATGTTCTCATTTCTATTAGCAGACTACCAAGCAAACAAACCAGCAAAAGCACGTACGGATTAGACATTTCTTAGATTCACTACGTCTCAAGCAAGAATCTTGCCCGCCAGCTAGCTGCCATTTTTTTTTTTTTTGGTAAACGTATACCTTCAACTACGGAAGTACACTTATAGCAGTGCAAAACATCTTTTAGTAGCTCTCGCAATAAACTTTATAATGTTTTACCGACAGCATGTCATACAGAAGGAAAGATTTTTGTTTCTTAATTTTTTTCTGTTATTGCTCTCGCGTGGCCTGATCACTGATGCCATGTTTGCCCTATTGGCACACAACCACCCGCTGAAAAGCACCATGAACTGTCCTAAAATAATTCATACGATTACTGAATTGCAGAGCATTTACCTATAGGTACAAGGCTATTGAACACTTGCACACGATATGTTTCTAAATCATGGCTCTGATTAATAAGCACACGAACGCAAGTCCGTTACAATGAGTGTCAGTAGACCTCACGTAAGCCGATATAAAGCTGATATTAATGCTGAAGATGAGTACATAGGATCGCAGTCGACATTAAAATGTGTAGCTCAATCATACTCACTCACGAAATAAATGTTGCGCTTGGGGTTCACTTCGATTCAGACTTACCAATACTTTCGTCAACCGGACTCACTCGGATACAGACTCAAGATTTTCTTAAATGGAACTCGCTCAAACGCGAACTGACCAAAATATTATCAACCGCAATCCGCTAATATATACTAACACTCATGGCTTAATGTAAGCCTCAATTGTTCTGAATGAGTCTACTCATCAGCGAGTTTACTGACCTATGGTTTGAGCATTCACTTTGAGGGTACATCACAGAACAGCGTAAGGAACGAGACGAAGACCGTTCTGATGCCGTAAATGAGTGTTGGTAAGGATCTGGCACATAACTGTTGATTGCACTAGCCTGTCACGGTCTTTATTCACAAGAGAATAGCGAGAATGGGCATAGTTTCTGTTGCATCTGCACGACCGATGTGCGCGTAAAAAAATTTCTCGTGTAGTTGAAACCCTGCATATGCGCAAAATCGCGACGAGCAGCAGCTGGGCCTGAATGGCCGTTCCTTTTCACTGTTCAAAGCTAGGTGAAAAAACTGGGGGCGTGTAACGACTCGCAACAACCTGCAAGCACTTGCGATGGCCTGTCACGCACCTCGCGTTTTCTTATCTACACAGGAAGGCGGTCAATGCATCAGTGCTTACCGTCATCGTCATTTGACATGGTGCGCCGACGTCCTTTAGCCCTCGCTCGCTGCCAGCCTGGTCGAGCCGGGAATGCTCACCGGGTAGGGACTCGAGCTTTGGGATTTTTTCTGGCGCGAAGTCGATCACCGCTGCGATCCCGGCCCGGCGACGTTCATGCCGGGCGCGCAACGAGAATTTTACGGGCCGGGCTTGGGAGCCGGCTGGACGAAGTAGGACCGTTCCTAGGCCTAGGCACGCGCTCGGACTGATGCCGATGGTGATTACGCTGGCCAATGCGGCGTGGCTCGGAAATCGCGCCGACGCGTTCATAGCTGAAGTCTTGCGGTTTGGTTTCTATAACAGTGCTATAGCTTGAAAAGTGTGACGACAGTTGTGCTTGCGGCCATCGCTTAAGGACATTCTGATAGCCGTAGTTGGGTTTCGTCGCTATGAACTGCATTTGTTGTTGTTGTTGTTGTTGTTGTTGTTGTTGTTGTTGTTGTTGTTGATATGCAGATTCATGGCACATACCTAAAACAGGGGTGTTACCTAAAATCAGATGTTTGCGGCAAACAAAAAATAACGAGGTCTGTTTCAACGATTAAACGTGGACTTTGCCACACGAGCGAATTTTTCCTCCGTGGGAAATATAATAGTAACAGCATCATAACCACAAACTTTAAGTGACGTAGCCTCAATTTTTGTCAAATGGAACATGGCGACGCGTGGCCTGCGTGCTCCGGCGGCTACTGGCAGCGCGTTCAAACGGGAGCGATAGCAACCGCTGTCTCTTTTCACGTCATCTCACGGTGAGCAAAACAACCGTTCGTTACTGATCTCGAACCAGCTGCATGATTGCGACCCCCTCCCCCTCCAATGCGATCACGTGAGAGCCGGTAATCATCTTGAGGGGGGAGGGGTTGCAAGCGTGCTGTTCTACATCAGCAACGAATGGTTCTTCAGCTCGCCGTGAGATGACGCAAAAAGAGACAGCGGTTGCCATCGCTCCCGCTTGAACGCACTGCCAGCAGCCGCCGGAGCACGCAGGCTACGCGTCGCCGTGTTCCCTTTCACAAAAGTTGAGACTGTGCATCAGTTAAAATTCACGAAATACACCTTTTCGCGACCTACAAGGTCAGACCACGTTCGCAGATGCCGCCGGTGCACTTAAAAATAACAGATGCGGAATTCTAGGACTTAACATCGCAAACGTTAACCACAGGGTCATGCTTAATGCCGGGTGATGCGAAAACGGAGCGATTACTACCATGCTGCCCAGACAGCGTTCAACGTTACTAGATACTTTGACTACGTTGGTATGGTGCATATATATATACGGCTCCATAATAAGCAATATAAAGTAAATTTTCATTGGAGATGGTTCAGAATGAATATTCATTACTGGAAAAATCATTTTGGACCAAAACTAGATCGCTTAGAAATATCGGCATCCCCCAAAGCAATGAATGCATAGTACACCGTCAAAGTCTAAAGCTAAGAACTAAGATCGATTTGCAAAGATACTAAATGACACTGAGGCTGTTCTAAAGAGTCATTTAAAATACTTATGGGCCCAGCATTCCCATTCTGAACTATATAGGTGAAAAAGTCTGTTCATCTCCATGGCCAACTATGGATGATCCAAAAGAAGATAATTTGAAGCGCCCGCTCAAGTTAAAAGCTAAGAAATTGTAAGCCCGAAGTTTAGTGTTACGTGGTGCCCGTGTTCATAAAGTGGCTCTGTGCCCATGGAGTTGTCAGACAGCGACGCAAAAATATCGCTTAACCTGCTTGTCTTCACACCGCTCGGGCACTGCCGACAGGATCGACTGCCGACATCCACACCATTGCGACATCTCAATACCACCGTGACGACACAGAAAGAGTATAAGATGGGTAAAAATCCGAGTGTTAGCTCCAAGTAAAAGAGAAAAAAAGCAAGCGATAAGTTAGAGCTCAGTGATAGATAATGCACATTGCTTGCTCAACTCCAGGGCCATACGATGAAAGATATTGTCAATTGTTTGATACCTCCCACCATTTCTCTTTCCTCCTCCACTTTCTCTGTAGCTCTATCTTTCTCTCACACACACAAACACACGCAGATATGCAGACCCATTTACATATGCCCAGGTGGGAGCCCACATCTAGTGATTAGTGAAGATATCGATTTTTCCCCCTTCTGCGAGAGAGAGTGTGATTATGCAGGCGTGTCATTTCTCCCTCCTTTATTTCTTTTTTTTTTCATTGCGAGACGGCATCACTGCGTCTGCACTAAACGAATGAGAGATAAGAAACGTTCGATCTCTCTTTCTGTAATTGCGGGGTACTATCTTTCATTTGGCCGCCATATCACGCGCAAAAGTGAGAGATAACACACTTGCAGATCACGTATATTGTTTGAAGCTGCTGAAATGGCTTGATATCAAAGTGTACGACACTCGTCTTCATAAAGGTGCAGTTTATTGCCTTTCAACTGAATTTCTAACCTGACATCCGGGTTAAAAAATGGCGAGCCCTTAGCGCGGTGAGTACTGCTTAATTTCCGTACGCTTATTATTAATCGTTTTATATGTATACGGAAGCATGTGTACATAACTGGGCACGTATATACCCGACCATCATAGGCAACATGTGGAACGGTGATAACTTCGCCATTGTAATTTAAGGCGAAAAAGCCCCGGATATATGGATAAATGCATGCTCATTACTGCAAGCGTTTATTTATTTCAGAGATGGGGAGACATGTCTAGCCCAAAGGTGCACTCCTTGCAATACCCTGAAGAAATGTCACTGCTAAATTAAAAAAGAAACACTTACAACGGAACTTACGCTTAAATAGAAGTAGACTGGAAGGTGAAAGCCACCTTTTTCTTCTTAATTGGTCCTGACCACCATTGGTCCGGAGCCGCCACTCTTCGAAAACTTTCTGCACCCAACGTGGTTTAGCATTGTCTCCGCGATCGGACCATATTTGACCAAGCGACGATATCATGTGATCGCGTCGTCACATGACACAGTGACGTAATCGTGACGTCCCAACGGCACCGAAGTTACGTCATCAAATTTTGCCAACTCAACGTCATTACGTGATTGATGACGTCATTACGTGTTGGCTATTTTGCATCCCTTGTCCACGATGCCAATGGTCAATGACACCTCCGTTTTTCGTCATGGGCACGAGATCTTGGAAGGCTCTTTCCACATAGAAAACGTCTTTAATGTATTGTGTGAACCAGGTCAAGTGGTGTTTTGAAATATTCCCATTAAATTTGGCAGCAATGATGAGAAGTGGTAAGCTGATATGTACCGCTTGTGCCAGCAAGGATGGCGGAACTGGACACTGCTAGACAAATGAGCTTCAGTGCTTGGCGCTTCATACAATTGCCGTTATATGGACGGTGACGAATGTATGATAGAAGTACGTATGTACAGCTTATAAGACTGGAAAGCCAGCACTGCAACCACAAATGACGATTCACGGACATTACGGTTTACTTGAAAACCAGCAGTTCCTAGACCAAGCATGGCACCGTGGTAGAATGCTTGATTGTCACGCCAAATGTGAGGTTAAATTCCTGTTGGAACCATAATATTTGTTCTATGCGTTAGTTGGGTCAACGCTGCCGCTGCCAGCTTTTAAGAGCGAAGCTTCGTAGGACCAACCAAGTTGGCGCCCATCACGCCCCACAAAACAGAAACCAAAACTGAACACCTGTACAAAACAAAAACTAGTGTGTAGACATCCGACTTTGTGTGTAATCAACTATACAACAGCACAATATATGATCACCCTCACCACCGTTTGTCAGTACGTCCATGCATCTCTCTGTCCGGCTATCTGTCCGTCCGTCTGTCTGCGCATTCTGCCGTTCATCCATCCTTGCGTTCATTCGTGCATTCGTCCGTCCTTTGTACTAGAGTCGGCGACTCCAAGTAGACATCGCGGACTTCCCGACCTATAGCTTCACCCACACGTCGTCATTCACTACGTGGAGACGTACAGATTTTTTTAACGCTCTCAAAATAAAATTACCAACGTCTTTTCGGGCCATTTCTTGGTTGATTTACACTCTGAATCACTTTCAGTACGTTGTGCTTAACTACAATTGACGTTAACTGACGTGAAGGCTGTATCATAGGAGTACAATTGTAATGTTTGTAAAATTGGATAGTCATCACTGCACCCCCAATCGACGCTTCACGAAGATTACGGTCTATCTGAAAAGCAGTTGCGAGACCTGGCATGGCTCTGCGGTAGAATACTTGGTTTCCACACAGAATGCTGGGGTTTGATTGCTGCTGGGACCCTTATATTTTTTTTTTTACATTCATCGGGTCCACGCAGCCGACGTCAGTTTTGTCTTAACGCTCACGCGTTAACATTATCCATGTCCCTTCTCGCCATTCCTAGGTAGGCATGAACTGTCGATCCCCTGTGGCGCATACCCTCATACCAGTGGCATATATCCACCCACGGTTATGTCTGGTGGGAAGTGTTTGACGACACGTGGGACGGCATTGCAACATTATTCATGTCATGACCAGCTTGTTGTATTCTTCAAATCATCTTACCCTCGCATACTATAATTATCGTTGACGAAGCTCCTTATGGCGTGGCTTGTGCGTTCCCCGTTGTAGTGCGTAACCTGTGGCGCATACCCTCATACCAGTGGCACAAACCCGTCCTCGGGCACATATCCGAATGTCCACATGTTACGAAAAACGTAGCACGACGTCTTTACCACGCTCTCGGGGTTAACAAAGCGCTGACAGCATAAATGTGGCACATATTCTCGTATAGTCCTTGGATTGTCCGCTGGATGGCGGTACGTGTATATGATATATATATGATAAAAAGCAGCGAGATGGCGGTTCACTAGATGGGCCGAAAGACGCAAGGACGGGCACACGAACAGACACACGAACGGACACACGAACGGGCGCACGTATGGATGTACTGATGCATGGATGGACGCACGGATGGACGCACGTACGAACGGACACATTGACGGACGCTTGGCCCCACTATCAACATTCATTCCATAGATATGCTGCGATTTTTTTTTGCTTTCCTTGCCCGTTACCCGAATGTTCAGTTGTTACTGGCCCCGTTCTTTAATAGAACGAATGATTTACAGCTTCTGGGGTTACTACATGAAGGTTCTGTTGCGGATTTTCAGTATATTGGTGGCCTTCGGTGATAGCACGTGGGAAGAACGAACCGCTTCGTCGTAGCCGTA